GAGGTTGTTTCCGAAGGGCAATAGGTAGATCAAGATAAGTAGATTCACTTCTTTGTTCTGAGTCATCTGGCTCACTAGATGGATCAATCTTTGGTACGTCAGCTTCAGGGACTACCTTGGTTCTGACTTCGTGGTGCCTCAGGTACAAGTTTGCTCACTATCTTTTATTTTCTTCTTTTGAGTGTAAACTAACAACCTCCCCTTTGTGGTCTTTCCACATCTTCCCTCATTTTCTTGTTTTCCTCCAACTTTGGCATAAGAGAAGAGGTTGGTGAAGGCGGATGTTGGACAAAGGTAAGGGTGATGGTTCTGGTAAAGGAGATAAGGACTCAAGAAGTACATATTCAGTGTTAGGATTTGGTTCCCAAATTTGAGATTCACCTATATTCTTCTCCGCTTGAATTGAGGAATTGGAATAAAAAGGAGTTTCTTCATGGAAAGTAACATGAGGCTTACAAGGATGCGTTTAGAAACAAGATCAAAAATTTATATCCTCTTTGAGTAGGAGAATAGCCAAGGAAGATATACTTGATAGCTCGAGGTTCAAGTTTACTGCTTGGTGGATATGAACAAAAGTCGTGCACCCAAACACATGAAGTGGAAGTTTTCAATGTGGGATGTAGGAAAAATACTCTACAATTTTTGGAGGGGTTTTCCAAGGCTAATATTTGACTAGGCATTCGGTTGATGAGATAGTTTACGGTTAAAATGCACCCCCCAATAAAACTTTGGCATATTTAAGTGAACATGAGTGCTCTTGCAACTTCAAGGATATGTCTATTTTCTTCCTGCAATCCCATTTTGTTAGGTTGCATGGGCACACGTATTGGTATGGACATACCATGCATCTGGAGAAAATTACTCAAAGATTGGTTGAGTAGTCTAAGTACCATTGTCAGTGTGTAAAACTCGAATGCTAGTATTGAACTGGTTTTTGATTATGGTGAAAAAACTCATGAATGTGGATGCAACCTCAGATTTGTTTTTTAAAAGGTAAACCCAACAAACATGAGTATGGTCATCAATAAAAGAGAGGACCATTTTGTTTGAGTACGGTTTGAAATGCGTGATGGTCCCACAAATCACTGTGAATGATTGTGAAAGATTTGGTATTTGTGTATTTGGCTCTAGGAAAGGAAGTTCGATGGTGTTTGGCAATTTTACACACCTCATATTGGATTTCACTATGATTCAAGGTTAGGCATAAGGTTGGAAACAATCGCTGAAGGTAATAAAAATTAGGGTGACCCATTCTCTTTTGCCATAACATAAAATCATGAACTTTAGAGGTAGATGCAGAATTACCAACAATAGGTGGGTTATCCACTCGAGTGATGACTTCTAAATAGTAGAGCCCCTCGTATTTTGGGCATTGTCGATTGTCACACCAGATGATAGATCCTGGAAAACACAATGTGACAGGAGAAATTTAGCAAAACAATTTGAGTGCCTGGTCAATTGACTGATTGAAAGTAAATTACAGTCAAGTTTGGCACGTGGAGGACAGATTCCGAAATAATAGAATCTGATAGATGGATATTCCTTTTTCCTGCCATCGGTGCTAAGGAGCTGTCTGCAATTTTCACTTTAACATTTCAACACATGGGGTGTAAGTGGTGAATAATTGATGACAATTGTCATATAATCAGATGCCTCGAAATCCACAATCCAGACCACTGCACTTTGACTTGTCTTTAAAGCTTGAGGGAAAGACCCTCTTTTTGCCACTAATGCCATGGGTGCAGATCTGGAATTATGCACAACACTGCATAAAAGTAGCCAAAACACCACTCCTAGCACTTCAAATGAGGGAAAGGCTTTCTGGTAGACTGAAATCAGAAGCCACAACCCTATATAACTCCGAACCTAGCAAAACAGGGCACTAACAACACCATACGACCTAATATGGTTCAAAAATGACGTACCCAAACACTAAATTGTGCTAGATCTGGCCGGAGAGTGCGTCGTTGCTGTCTGAGAAGGTCGCATCTTGAACAGAGCTTCCACGCGCTGTCGGAAGCTTGCTGACATAGTGAGCAGAGGTGGCGCGTGTGGACCACACGCGCTGCCGTTCGTCGTCGCCGTCTTGGGTTTCGCCGTTCAGAGCCTCTTGAGTACGTCTAGGGTGGCGGTGAGATTCACAACTCACTCCACCATTGTCCACACAAACGCCCTCACCTACTGTTCAGAAAGTCTCATTCTAGCCATTCCAGAACTAATCTAATTTGAATTTTTGAGCCTAATGCTCTGATACCATAGGGAATTTTCAAAGAGGAAAAATTGCATTATGTCATTCATTTCTAATGTACAAACTGGTCCTATATATATATCAAGAGAGATAAAAACTAATAATACTAATAAAGCCTAATTAATGATCCTAATAAATGCTAATTATTTACAATAATGACATAATATTCTCACACTCCTTATCTCTCGGACCAAAACTTTTTAATTCTTCCAAAACTTGTCTTATAATCTTCCTTACTTTTCTAGCTATATCCTCTCACAAGATGTTAGCACTTCTCCAAGACTCCCAATTCCTTTAGCCAAAAGATTCCGCTTGAAAATTTCTCACTTTTCACCTTTTAATTGCCACCACCTAATCCTTGAAGTTATCACTTGTTGACACTTTTGGTTTTTACTTATAATATACACATCAATTACAAGGATTTTATTAATAATGTGGGTCTTGAATTCTTCTTTCACTTGCCAATTAGATTTCTGCAGAACGAAACCTATTTTTCTTTGTAAGATTTTATTATCATAAAGGTTTAATTTTTACTTTCAGGGAACAGTTGTGGTTGCTGGTAGGGCAAGAGCAATTGTGGTGGGAGTTGGTCATAACACTGCCATGGGCAGCATACGTGATTCAATGTTGCAAACAGAAGATGTAAGGATTGTTTTTGCACACTAAATGCTTTGATTGTGAGGCTATATCTTTATGCCTTTGTCTCAGCTGCTTATGGATGTTTTTCAATTTGTGATCCGTGAACTGGCAGCCTTTTGACTTTGCTTATGATATCCAGAATGAAATCTGGATTTTGTCACTTCTACCAATCAAAGAAAGGAAAAGTCAGGTCTTGCATGTGACGGACAATCAATCATATATAATGGTCTAACATTATCAAGTTTAGTTTTGCTGCCTCTTGGTAATATACATTGTCTTATTGGTATTGGTGCTTGCCTTCTGTTAAATAGGGGTTGTCTCTTGCTGTAGATAGAGTATCAGGTGATCTTAGGTGGATGTATGATTTGGGCATACTTGTGGTAGAGTTCTCTAGGGTGCAAAAGACCTGATTAATGAGGTGGAGATTTAATAATTGTGAAAGATGGATCTTTTTGTGTAAAGCTTGCAGTCATAAGTAGTTATCGGTGTGGTTGAGCTATTCATGCAGCTGAGAAGGGATGATATTTAGTTGGTCAAAATTCTCTTAGGTCTTATTCTTGCACATTTCTACCCTTCCAGGATATGTAGATTAGAAAAACTAACCTGGACTTTCAAACTTGCATCTCGGTGCTAATGCATCTATATTCTACTTTTGGTTGCAGGAGGTGACACCATTGAAGAAGAAGCTGGATGAGTTTGGTACCTTTTTGGCCAAGGTGATTGCTAGTTGTATGCATTACATTTTAGTGTTCATTGTACGTTTAGACATTAATATGCAAGTGTTATCTCGCATTTTTTATTCATTTTATAATTTATAATACTTGATCAGATAAATTACACTAACATTATTGCATTTCCATATTAGCTGCCTAGCAAATTCAGCTGTTGTTATGGTTCCTTTTGAATACTGGGTCTGCATTTTATTGTCTGTCAAGATGCCATTTTTGGTTTCCTCACCTACAGCTGACTTAAATAATTATAACTGATCCTTTTTCAAGCTGTAATATGGTGCTTCAAATGATAAAAATATTGGAGAATTTGAGAAGCATTTGTGTGACAAAACTCTGAATTGCTTACCTTTCAGTTCACTGTCTCCCAATTTTGGAGATTGATATGGTGCTTCCTAAATTTCTGTGTATTAGGTTATTGCAGGGATTTGCATATTGGTGTGGGTTGTAAATATCGGACACTTTCGTGACCCTTCTCATGGGGGTTTCTTGCAGGGTGCTATTCATTATTTTAAGGTTTGTTATCCTACGTGAGGATTTTTTCCTCGTTTAGAAAATTTTTGCAGTTTCATTGTTCAGTAATATTTTTGCCATGATTTCTACTTGCTCTGGTATCCTGTTCTTTGTCTTTCCCTAGCAGCATGGTTGACTTTTTAATCGTTCTGATGGTAGTTTTTTACTCAACATGAAATGTTTCATTAACTTGTTCTATTCATTTTCTTGCCAGATTGCTGTTGCTCTGGCAGTTGCGGCAATTCCAGAAGGGCTCCCTGCTGTTGTTACAACGTGAGTCTAAACTTATTCTTCATTCTCTTTCTCTGCACGGTAATGTTTTATGAGGTGGTTGTATTTTCAGTATATATGAAGATATTTTGGCATGCGTGTTCATGTTGAATATAGATTTTTTCCTCCTAGAAGTTGAAACAAATTTCTTAAGATTCTTCCATCTGGTCATGCCTCTGATGCATTAATTTCTTTTTCAGTGTGTAGGAGTTCCCATAAAACACAACATACAATCTTAAAGCTATAGCCTATTACCATTTACTTATGATATAATTAGGGTAGAACAACTCTGTATTTTATTCATCTTTACATATATAGAAGAGATGAAAGGAAGAGAATTTACACAAATCACCTATATCTCTCCTATTATCTTGGTAAATCAAATCAGATACTCATAAGAGGTAAAATCAGATGCGAATGACAGATAACAGATCTTATTTACATAAGGAAAAATAGGTCTAATCTTGATATGGGCTGTAGCAGCAGGCCCTCATCCAACAACTTAGATATTGTTAATAATAGACATGGTGTAAAATATTGAAGTCAAATGTTTAAGCTTTTATCTTTAAAATAGATCATCTAGTTGCCTCTTGATTTTAGAGAAGGCTGTGCTACATTGTTCTATTTCCATCAGGGCATTAGTAGTAGTTTTCCACTTGATTTTTGCATTGCACAGAAATTCTGGATTACTTGGTTCCTCAGACTTATAACATGTCATTTAACATAGATCTACTTGGGATAAAAACTAAATTTTCTCCCTCTTTTGATTTGATTACTTATCATGATATTACAGCTGTCTAGCTCTTGGAACAAAGCGGATGGCTAGGTTAAATGCTATTGTGCGGTCTTTACCTTCTGTGGAGACATTGGGCTGCACTACTGTAATTTGCAGCGACAAAACTGGAACTTTGACAACCAATATGATGTCTGTGACAAAGGTGATCTTTGCTTGGGATTAAAATAGTAAATTTCAATTCTCATGCTCTTTGCATGGATTTTATATATTGCCACAACTGCTGATCTGTCAGTGTGATTTTGCTATCCTTAGTGGATGTTTAATACCTATTTTCAAAATTTTATTTCTGGAGTCTGGAGTCAGTGATACAGCACTCTTTTAAAATAGGAAAAATGCAATCATTGGCCCTATAGATTTATCGGGTTTTGCTTTTAGTCTCTGTAGTTTTTTCAGTATTTTTAGTCTTTATAGTTTTAGAAAGATTGGTTAACGTTTGTTACTCAAGTTCCTATAGTTTCAGTGTTTTCAGTTTCAGTGTTTTCAGTCCTTTTCTGAAAAAACCTACAGGAACTAAAAGTAAAATCTGATAAACTGTAGGGACTAATGACTGTGTTTTCCCTTTGAAATATTTAGCAACAAAGAATATAAAGCCCTGATGTAGGACTTGTTAGAGGAAGAAGGGAGGGGGGATGGGGTAATAAAGAGAGAGGTAGAAGAAATCAGAGAGACAGAGGGAGTACGAAGGGAAGAAAGAAAAGAAAGAAGTATATGAACTATTTTCCAAGGTTATAAATTATTACCCATAAAACCACTGGTCATAGCACTGCTAATATTCTATCCCTTTCATTGACACTGCTTAAATAAAATAAAAGCTGTTTTTAAATGTTTTAGGTCTAAATATTGAGCTCTGTAAGATAATCATTTCCTGAGAGAATTTTTGCTCCCCTCCCCCCTTTTGAACTCAATTTTTGCTCTCCAGATTTCTTATAGTCAAATATTTCTAGCAACTTTCTTTGAGAATTCCTTCACCTTATGATTCTCTGTATCCACAGATATGTGTGGTTCGCTCCGCAAAACATAGTCCTGTTGTTACTGAATACAATGTTAGCGGAACAACATATGCACCTGAAGGCATGATCTTTGACAGTTCGGGAACACAGGTGATATTCTTTATGATTCTCAGATTATAACATTCATGCATGAGCAAAATACCCGCTTAAATTCTCAAAGACATCTGACTAACTAACTTGGAGAAAGGGGATCAAGGTACCCTGAGGCCATCCTTAAAACAAAGTCCATGCATCTGATTCTTTGAGTTGGGAATGTTGTTATTTTCCTTTACAGTAGACATGTAATGCTGCTGTGATCTGTAAGTTTTGTGTTAGTCATTACTAACATTGGGAAAAAGCATTTTCCAAAACATACAAGTCTGTAATACTTGGGAAAATATGGGTTTGAGCCAGAAATTTAAAGACCGATGGACTTCTATTTAAAATGATAACAAAAAGGCTCAGGTGGCTTCTGTTTCATTATTTCAGAAAAGTAATGGGTACGGTATCACAACCTTTTTCTTTATTATAATCAATATTGGCATAGGCATGTCGGTCTTTTTTGTTAGTAGTGCAACTTCGTAACATTTAATTGTTTTACAGCTTGATGTTCCAGCTCGATTGCCATGTCTTCTTCACACAGCAATGTGTTCTGCACTTTGCAATGAGTCCACCCTGCAGTATAACCATGACAAAGGAAAGTATGAAAAAATTGGAGAGTCAACAGAAGTGGCACTTCGTGTCCTGGCGGAGAAAGTTTGTATTTTTAACATTTTTCTTGTAATTCCTGTTTATGTAAACGGTATGCTTGAAGCTACTTTATAGATCTAATGTGTTTCTTTGGTTTTTCAGGTTGGTCTCCCTGGTTTTGATTCTATGCCATCAGCCTTGAACATGTTGAGCAAGCATGAGCGGGCATCTTACTGTAATCATTATTGGGAGGAACAATTTAGAAAGGTATGCTTCAGGATACTGGTCAACTTTTCTTTTCTATTAGTATTCTTTCATTAACATCTCAGTGTACTCATACACCTTTTAGGAAATTATGGATATAAAGTGTGCCCCATATGTACTATTTGTTATTTTGTCAATTTTCATGCTTTTTGATGATTTGCAGATAGATCTGTTGGATTTTTCTCGGGATCGGAAAATGATGAGTGTCCTTTGCAACCGAAATCAGCTTCATGTGTTGTTCTCCAAGGGTGCTCCAGAGAGTATCATGTCTAGATGTACAACCGTCATGTGCAATGACGATGGCTCCCTTGTGCCACTTACTGCTGATATTCGAGCTGAGCTAGACTCAAAGTTCCACAGGTTGCATTTCTATTTATGTTTATCCATGCTCTATTTTTTAACTTTAACTTCTTTATCTTTATTTTTAGTTGTGGTGAATTCTAAATATATGATAAAGAGACTCATGAGCTATTGTACACAATGTTTATGCCAGCTTTTAGGATTGGCTGATCCTATTTTGGGAGAAATAGGAAGGATTAGTGAGTGGTTAATCATGTTTATTGAAAAGGGAAAAAAAAAAAAATAAAAGAATAAAAAAGCTTCCCCAATTGACACCTAGTGCATGTTTGTTTCTTTGAACCTTTCCTTAGTGCCAGAATATCGACATAGTGAAATTTTTTTCCTCCTTGGCTTCATCAGAAACTAATCTTGATGATATACTTCCTCTCATATTCAAGTTCAATCCTTGTTAGTTATAGGTTTAAAGACTGACCCTATCCCATCTTTTTCCCGTTACATTTACAAAACCTTCTTAAATGTCCTTGAGGAGGTGGCTTAAATACCCAAACCATCACCTTGTTGTAGACACATTGTCCGCCTTTTAGATGAGGTGCTAGGTATCCTTGTTGAAATTTTGCCAGACACTCTATTGTAAGAAACAATTGAAAAATGATGGCTTTCTTCAAACTGCAGTGGGATTGGTCATCATAACTATTAGATATGCTGCTTCCCTACTCAAATCCTCCTGTTTATTCTCATGTGCTCCATAATATAGCCAGTCTCTCACCTGGCCAAAATGACAAAACTGAAACTCAATCAAAGTTTCTGGTCCGGTTTATGAGATATCAACATTAGCCAGACTTGAAACGTAATATCGCTAGTAAGTCACATAACTTGAGATAGTTGCAGCATCTTAGGGATACAATATTAGCAGTTAATTTAAGTCCCATTTGGAACAACGTTATTAGGCATGTGCACAAAGCTCAATAATTCAATAGATTTTGATTATGATTTTTGAACTTTAACGGGTGCTGCAAAAAGTTTCAAGGTTCTTGGAAATGAAAGTTTAGCTCGTTCATTGCCACGTTCATCAATGAAAATAAATTTGAGTACCTAAATTCAACCAAACAGCAAATTAAGGTCCTTTCATTCATGTACTTCCATTTATCATGTCACAAAATTACTGTTCGTGTGCTGCTTCTGCCATGTCATTTTAGTCCTTGAAGTTCTTGATGCATTTTATGTGCTTTGTCTGGACTCTTACTGTTCTTTATTCTGTCCTTTCTTGGTTGTTGGGTTTTCCTTTTGTCTATGTTGTTAACATGTTTGTTGGTCAGTTTTGCAGGAAAAGAAACATTGAGATGCCTAGCTTTAGCCCTGAAATGGATGCCTTTGAGTCAACAACGCCTTTCCTATAATGATGAGAAAGATCTTACATTTATTGGGTTGGTATGCTTTCGTTTCAAAGGGGAATGCAAAGTTCAAATATTGTTTAAGTTGGCCTATCCTTTATGATTAATGCTTTTTTTTTTTTGGGGGGGGGAGCGGTTATACTAGGACATTTGTTAGAGACTGATAAAATCAAGCATAGGCCTTTACTTAAGTTTCAACTTCAGACTTAAAATGATGCTTGGCATGGTACTGTAGCCTTTATCACGAGGGGTCAAGACCCTTCAGTTCAATCTTTGCCACCATTCATTTTCTTAATTAAAATTAAGTTGCAGCCTAAGATATGATAGGCCTGTGCTTTAGTAAGGCATCAAGCCTACATAGGCTTTCACAAGAGAAGCTATGGTAGAGAATATAAAACCAATCACAGGTCTTTACTTAATAGCTTTAGCTTCTAACTAGAAATGGTTCTCAACAACTTCTAATGAAGCTATCTGTCTTCCTGCCAGTCTGTTATTTTATGGCAACAACTGCTTTAAGCAATAGCTATGTATTCTGTAAGCAGTAATTGATGCAAGGCACAAACTCAGACATTATGGTTGTTGCTGACCTTGTAAGTTAATACAAATTTTGGCTATCAATAAGAAGTGTAGAGTGAAGCAAAGGAGCAATTACAGCGTGGAATAAACTCGAAGGCTTATGAACTTTACACAATGTCATAGATACAGAAATTGATGCTCAATTTAGTATGCAATGTTTGCACTTGAAATTGGACCTGAATGCATAGAAGTTTTATTACTTAATGCAGCAAACTATATTTTACCATGTATTGTTCTAGATAATTAGCTAGATAGAGGGAGAGAGATATTGTTTTCTTCCTCTAAGGAAAATAGTAGGTGTTTTTGATATGAACTGAAGTCACTACTTAATGCACTCGTTTTATGATGAGTTTCCCGAACTTCTTGCACATATGGAACTCAATTTGTGCTGATGCTAGTTTGCTGTCTGAAAATATTCAGTTTCATTAGTTGACTCACTCATGGTACTTATAGAGAGAGATTTTTTTTTTTCCCCTTCCCCTAAGGAAAAGATAGGTGTTTTATATTTGAACTTAAGTCGCTACTTAATGCATTCATTTTATCTTGATTTTCTTTAACTTCTTTCCACATGGAACTCAATTTGTGCTGATTCTATTTTGCTGTGTGAGAATATTCAATTTTATTGGTTCACTTACACATGCTACTTCTACTTTATCATTTCAGAGTCACTCTCTTAAGCTTTTCTCTAACATGTAGGTTGGAATGCTTGATCCACCAAGAGATGAAGTAAGAAATGCGATGCTTTCATGCATGACCGCTGGCATACGTGTTATAGTTGTTACAGGGGATAACAAGGTGATCAAACTCTTGGGAACCTTTTTGTTCATTTTTAGCATTCAACCTTCAATATCTATTAATGTGGGAAATTGATGATTGTTTAAATTAGTCAACTGCTGAGTCACTTTGCCGCAAGATAGGGGCTTTTGACCACTTCTTGGAATTTAATGAACATTCTTATACTGCTTCTGAGTTTGAAGAACTTCCAGCTCCGCAGCAAACTCTTGCTTTGCAACGTATGGCTCTTTTTGCCAGGTAAATTGGATTTTATCTATCATCATCTGATAGATATTTGAAAATCTTGTATTTGTTTTAGATCAACAAAAGCATATTATATTATTGTTCTCTTCGCTCAACCTTTTGCTTGAGAATTCATTGTAAAAGTTACATTTGCTCATTGGACTTTAGGGTTGAGCCATCTCATAAAAGGATGCTGGTTGAAGCATTGCAGCACCAGAATGAAGTGGTATGGTTAAAATAAAAGTGTTTTATTGTTATTATAACAGTATTTATTTGTAGATCTAGTTTTATAGTTGGCACAGTTACAAGTGAGATCTAGTTTATAGTTGGCACAGTTACAAGTGAGTTCTAGTTATATAGTTGGCACAGTTACAAGTGACACTAGTGAGAACTATTTTCTTGGCTGCAATCAGAATTTAATAATCTTTTAATGAAGTTGTTAAAATCAGTTGTAATAATGGATATTATGCATTACTTATCCTTGAATTTGAGTTATTGTGGGATCAATAATTTAGGTTGCTATGACTGGAGACGGTGTCAATGATGCACCTGCACTGAAGAAGGCAGACATAGGAATTGCTATGGGTTCAGGTACAGCTGTTGCCAAGGTATCGTCAACTGCCAATTTTATTTTTTCCATTTTCCCTTCCTGACTGTAGCATTCTTATGTCAAAAGCCTATTCAACCTATTGTGGCCTGTGAATGAACACTTCATTGTTTAATTTTTTTTTTAATGTTTTGTTTCCCCTATTATTGTTAGATGTGTTGATAAAAATGACCACTTACTTACAGCTTCCTTTGTTAGTTGAAGATAGTCTTTCCCATAGTACCAGAGTTCTTTATCCAAGTAATCAAGAGTTTAACCCTTGTCATCCTCATCCGCCATTTCCGAGAGAGATTTTAATAAAATATAGACGAAATGCTATTTGTAAAATAATCATTGGTCTTTACTTAACCACTTAAGCTTACAAGTTGGAAGTGTGCATTCACATCTATTTACTCTAGTTTCATCTTGTTGAGCTACCCAAATAAGGTACCACGATTGCTCTAAAGTGCACTAGTCTTGTGATTTTATCATGGCATCATGGGGTTTATGGGATGGTGTTTAACGTTGTTCTTCTATTTCTGGGAAAGACATGAGCCAGAAGATGAATCCAAGCTAAATTAGACATGCAGTTCAATGAACATCTCCAGGATTTTCTTTCCTGTTTATTCTTGAAGTAATTCACTTCCTAGGGGAACCTTGTAATAATAATTTTGTTTTTGTCAAATCTACTTAACAGTCATCTGTGTGTTATTGTTTGGTAACTTATTATTCCTGAGGAACTTTGTGCCAAATGTATATTTCACTCTTATGCTTCACTATATTATCAGAGTGCTTCAGACATGGTACTGGCTGATGATAACTTTGCTACAATTGTTGCGGTATGCTAGCATATCTTTGTTCTTCTAGTCAAGCTTCCATTTTTTTTTTTTAAGTTGTCTTTCTCTTAGGTGGGAGGATCATAATCACCTAGGTGCTTTGCAGGCTGTGGCAGAGGGAAGGGCCATATACAACAATACAAAGCAATTCATTAGATACATGATCTCTTCTAATATTGGTGAAGTATTCTGTATATTTGTGGCAGCTGTGCTTGGAATTCCCGATACCCTTGCCCCGGTGAGTATCTGACTTGCACCTAGTTGGCATCTTATACAGCCTGTTGATTTCTTAAGTTTCTGGATTTTGGAGCTTATAATTTATATTTCTCGTTGGCTCTTCAATTGTAGCTGATAGCTGATAGCTAGTGTATATTTGGATACAGTTCTGTATTACTGAGGAACAAAGCTTTGAAATTCCTTTTTATCCTGTAAATTATACCAGGTCCAGCTGCTTTGGGTGAATTTGGTTACTGATGGATTGCCTGCTACTGCTATCGGCTTTAATAAGCCAGATTCTGATGTAATGAAGGCCAAACCTCGTAAGGTACTGAGGTAGCACTTGAATATTAGGCTTCTACCTGATTTCATCATTCAAGATAAACAGTTAATTTTACATTTATGATTTTGATTTGAAGCATGTAGATTTTTTGTTGGTTTAACCATGTCTCAAGTTTTGCAATATATTCGTTTTGCTTTCTTAATTCTCTAACACTGATGCAAATTATGCTTCTCATATTGTGACACTTTAGTCATTATGAATGTACAGGTGAATGAAGCAGTGGTTACAGGGTGGCTGTTCTTCCGTTATCTAGTAATTGGAGGTGAGCAATGTTGTCATACATCTAGTCTGTGATTTATATCTTGGCTAGTTAGTTTTTTTTTTTATCCTAATCCTCTGTAGTATGAGCTTCTTTCTTCCTACCGACAAGCTTTTGTGTTATTTTAAAGAACACAAATAAAAAAATAAAAAGAAAAACTTCATTCTTTTTCTAAGAAGCATCAATACTTGCTTTCTCCACCCCTATCTGTACCTGGATCCATATCAGATCCAATAGTCCGTGTCCCTCTTTTTCTGTTTCCCCCCTTCAATTTGCTGGGTCAAAATATGGTAGATAATGTGAAACTATATTGGAATATAATAGATTGCTTAGAGGAAGAAGAAGAATTGAAACTTGAAATGCGTTCAAATATTAAAAATATATTTTATGTGCTCAAAACTCACATATAAAGGCTCTGAAAAACTGGAACTTATAAAAATTTTGGGTATTAAACTTTAAATAATGAATACGCACCCAAGAATATCAAATCTATTGTTATCTATTTTTTCCCCATATAGTCAAATATGTCCTAATAATTTATTAATAACAAGCTATCAAAACCACATCTTTGTTTTTCCAGCAATTGCCTTATTCCTGTATCCTAGTGTTGAGATATAATACATATGTCTCATGCATCCATCACAGACACAGCAGTTTTCCTCAGCAGCCTCATGTTTCTTACAAAACGCTCAAATGGGAAGAAGTGGCATATACTAGTTTTACGCAGTTAGGGAAGGTGTTCTGATTAAAATCTTCTTGCGTTGTCATCAGCTAGTAAAATCTTAATGATGGTTTGCTTAAGGATTCAAATTTGTCAGTCATGATCTAGGGAGCCATCAGCATTAGCCTGAAATGTCAATCTGCTTCTTTTATGGAAATAGTGCATCCTTCTTTTTGGGTTACATTTGTGCCTGATATCATATATTTTATAAACTCATTTAGATGCCAAAATTAATCAGGTTTAAACTTGCAAAGCACAAGGAATATGGCTAAAAATTAGATCAATTTATTAAGGAAGTTCTTGTATTATGACAATACTTATGTGGAAGACAAAAATTATCAAATTTATTTTTCATTTCCTCTAGAGAAGATATGTGGTCTTAATGTATTCATTGTGCTTAAATGGTTTTATGAGAAACCTTCAACGGATTTCTGCCGGGGTCATAATTATTTTTGGTGCTTCATGCAGCTTATGTTGGTCTTGCTACTATTGCTGGTTTTATTTGGTGGTTTGTTTCCTCTGACAGCGGCCCAAAACTGCCATATACTGAACTGGTAAAATTTTACTATTTCTTCAAATTTTAATTATGTTTGCTTTCTTAACAATTGAGATACCCAGAACACATAAAATACTAGTATGAGCTTAGTGATTCTTTTATACTTTGCATTTGAGTACGTGTGAATTAAGAAACACTTGCTACACGGAATTAACTTGAGCATAAACAACTACTTTATGGCACTTGAGTTTCTGATGGAGACCAAGGTAGTATGGGATGCCTTGTCCCACATTGAGTAAGGATGCTCTATAGGTGTATTTAAGTGGATTGGTTCTCTCACTTAAGTAGTTAGCTTTTGGGGGATGTTCTTCATTTTACTTGAGTACTCAACAATTGTGAAAGCCACATTATTTACAAGCTGCAAACAAAATAGTTCATTCTTCGAACTCAATGTAGTGCATAAGAGGCTCACCTAGTTTCAATCAAGATGTTTAGTTATTTATTTTGTTTTGTTTGATTAAGGATTATTTGAGTTGTTATTTTTATATACTGTTTCTATGCATTTAGGATTAGCTTTTTGTTTTGTAAGAATTTTGAATAGGATAGAGATTAGCATTATGTCTTTCAATTGACGTAGGAGTCTACTATCCATTTATTTACCTTCTATACATATAGATGGTCCAATAAAATAAGTTCTTGAGATTATTGAACTTTGAATTTTTACTTTTCCCTTGTGATTCTGTCAAAAAATCTGGTTATACTTATTCCACACATGTTCTCACTTAATGATTCCATCTCAATAATTCGTAGATTTTTTTTTCTTGCTTCCAGATGAATTTTGACACTTGCCCAACAAGGCAGACAACTTTCCCATGCAGTATATTTGATGATCGACACCCATCTACTGTAGCAATGACTGTGCTTGTCGTTGTTGAGATGTTCAATGCTTTGAACAATCTTAGCGAAAATCAATCTCTTCTGTGAGTAATTTTATGAGATCTGGCTTCTTTTTCAGTTTTCTATTCCTTTCTGCATATTTTAATGTGAGGGCCATATAATGTCTCTGAACTAATTGAAAGATATATCATATCTCAGTTAAAGTATAAATTATTAGCTGAGGGTTGAAGTACCAAAATTTGTGCTGTAACAGTCTTTACATATCTTTTTTCAGGGTTATCCCTCCATGGAGTAACTTATGGCTTGTTGGTTCAATAATTCTTACCCTGCTTCTTCACATGCTTATTTTGTATGTGCATCCTCTCTCTGTTCTTTTCTCTGTAAGTACTTTCTTGTATCTGTGGCCATTTCTGTTTCTCTTGAAGCAATAGCTTTGCTTTTCTGTCACACTCATAAGGAATTCTGAATTGTGATCATTATTTGGCTGTAGGTAACACCATTATCCTGGGATGACTGGTTGATTGTCCTGTATCTTTCATTACCTGTATGTAGCCTTTTCTTTCCCCGAAGCTTCTTCTTCCTCCCCTTCTGATATTTGGGTTACTTTCTTTAAATTTGGAATTCATGGTGTAATACATGTCATCATTCCTGGAACCAAGTTTCTCGATTGAGAGCATCAACAATGTCAGGTTGCCATCTTCTATGGAACGGAAATTTTGAAAATGTCATTACGTCTTTGAAACAAATGTTTGCAATTGATCCACACAACACAAGACTTGACTTTGTGTAAAAGCTATGTGCTGACTTGCTTAAATAGTTAAACAACTAATTTTTGATGCCGAATTAATGGCTTGATCATTGCAGAACTAATTTGTCATGCTAAACTCCCCATAGATAAAGTTTATATGCCACATCATAATTTGAGTAGTTTCCTTGGATCTATTAGATTTTATGTTGAATTATCATTTTCCTCTTTGGAATTTCTTGACGCTCATTTTTGTGCACCTGGATTGTACTATTAAATATTTGGCCCGTAGATGTGTTTCATTTAACTTCGTCTCCAAATTGTACGTTACCCTGAAATTTATTTAAGTTCAATCCCTAAACCACCTCCTTTTTATGTCAAATTTATTCTCTTTCCTGTTTTGCTGCATTTATCGTGATGTCTCGGCATATAATGAGATTTTCTTTTTCTTTTTTTTTTTGTGTGGGGGGGGGATGCCTCACCTAACCTCCTAATTTTGGGGGCAAAAACGTTTAAAATTTCAATAGGAATTTGGGGAGTGAAGGTGACTTTTTAACCTGATCTTTTTATACTAATAAATGCTATTTTTGTTGTCCAGGTTATATTCATTGATGAGGTGCTAAAGTTATTCTCCAGGCGTCCTATTGGTAAATTTTATTCCATATTGTCAAATTTGAGCTGAACTTATGATCTTAGTATTTCCGTATGCTACTTGAACATGACAAATATTTCTAAATGATTTTAGGCCTGAGGTTCAGATTATGGTTCAGGAGGCCTGATTTACTTCCAAAAAGAGAATTGCGTGATAAGTAAAATTCGGAGTATTACATGTGTAAATACTGCATTTGCTTATTCACTTGGCTATACTGGAAGGGTATTTAAATCACCCACCTCTACTTATGTGCATGGCAGTCCATGAGTTCCGAAAGTTACCAGCTTAGAGACAGTATAACTTTGGTTTTGGTTTTGTTGTATCGTCTATAACTTTTGTCATGAAAATGCCATGTGGTGTACAGGGCAAAAGTAGTGACTGGAGGTTGTTGTATTTATTTATTCTCTCTTTTGGAGCCCGCATTGAACCAGTTTTGAGGACTTTTAAGTTGGAAAGGTACGTCGTATCATTTGTATATCTTAAAAGAAGTTATCTTTGAATCTTCTCAATGAAATGGGTTGTCTGTTTTTTTTTTTTTTTTGGGGGGGGGGGATGATTTGGTTTTGGGGGGTGGGGGGAGTGTTGGGAATCCTACTTCGAAGAATTCTGCACGAAACTAGTCGTACTATGTCAACTTTTGTCCGCTTGTTCGTTGCTTCAGCTGTTACATTACAGAAGATGTACCTTTTGAACTTGATCATTCTGAGAATGAATTAGAAAAGATTATTTTTAAGATATTTTGTTGGCGATGATAATGCTGGATATAGTTTAGACTCCTGCCTCGACGACAAATTCGCAGTGATGAATACAATCATACATTAAATAAACGGATTTGGATTCTCTCAATTGAGGTTCTTAAATTAAATCTCAATTAAGGAATATTGACAAGTAGATTATGATCTGATGGTAATTAAGGGGGGTTACAATTTTTTGAAATAAAGGGGGGTTTATATATTAACACTTTTTTTTAGTAATTATTGAATGCGCTGCCCGGATAAATTTTTTTCTATGTTGCATAAAGGTTCTAAGATGCATCCACTCCGTAAAACTTAGAACTCTCCATACCAATAAAAATTAAAAAAGTCTATTATAAAATCGTTTTACAATATTGAGATTAGATAAAATTAATAAAATAATTTCCATCTAAACTAATTTTACGTGTTATATAGCTAACTAGACACAGCCCCATGCGTTGCACTGGTTGGCAAATTCAATAAAATGTAAATTCAAGTAATGATATTAGAGGTCAAAAAAAAAAAAGCCATAATGTGTAGTACTTAATCAAAAAGAAAATAACGTATAACTTAACACTAGTTATTATATGCCGGAAAAAAAAAGGCTTGATAAGGAAGTTGAGCATTTGTTAACAAAGTATGCTATATATATAGCTCAAAAAACAAAGTAAAAAAAAAAAATTAACCATTTGCAATTTTGCATAGAAAAAATGAAATGCCAACTTAAATTTGAAATTGTGTAAAAGATGAATATTATTCATACAATGTGTCACACAAGTTGGCTAATCCTTAACATATACTCCCTCTGCCTCAAATTATAAGACACTTTTAGATAAAATCTCACGTATCAATAAAAATTATTAAATACACTTTACAACCTTACTTTTTTAAGATAAAAATATAAATTTTTAAAAATGCCCTTCATTTAATACTTCATTAATAAAAGAACATTAAAGAAAGAGAATATATGGTAAGGATAACATTGAAAAAATGTTATTAATAACATCTTATTTTTATCAAAGTGTCTTATATTTAAAAATGCTAAACCTTCTCTAAAAATGTCTTATAATTTAGAATGAAAGGAGTAATATATATCACCATGTGCCATGGGTTGGCTAAACACACATATGGCTATATTATAATATTACTTTATTATGACACACACATATAGTTATACTATAATACTACTAACTACAGGTTGATCTTTTGACTCTCATGATATTATATGATACACACATATAAATTTAAATAATGATAATATATAGTCCAGACAATTACACCATAATAGGTAACACATGGTTAAGAAAGATAAATGAAGTATTACCTAGATAAAGCTATTGTATTTGGCAAAAAAATGTTTAATAAGGATGTCATTCTTCACTATGTAGTTAACTCAAAAACAATTACAAAAAATCATACATTTGTACCTTAAAAGTTTAAAAAAAAATTGTAAGGGTAGAGGTAATGAGAGATTTCTTTGTGCATTATATTAATAGTATTTGACATCTAAATGAGTAAAATTGAACTAAATAGCTAATTATTAATTTATATTTCAAACAATTTGATTCCCACATAAACTTCTAGTACAAATAACATGCATAATGCACAATATAACTTTGCCACCAATATAATCTTACCTAACTTGGCCCATAAATAAAAGTAATAAAAAATATATAAGTAGAGGCAAGGGGGTTCTTGCCCAACGCTTCCATCCAAGAAAATAAGTATATCATACATATGGAAGTGAATTTGGCTCAAGGAAAAATACATGTACAAAACCATTGTTCATAGAATAAAATTATTCTCCAAAGATAAACAACTAAATTGTAAAATCTAGAATACTGTAAAACAACTCTGTAAAGGCTTGTGACTAACTCATCCTAGAAACTTGCTCAAGCTAATTTATTTATAGGAATAAAAAAAATATTAATGTAACAGGGAATAGCATAGCCACCATACTCACACAGCATCCTTTTAGTCTTTCTCATTTTTTCTTTAATGGCTTGCAAAAAGCAACTTGCCTATTTCTATCACCAAACAAAGTTGAAGAGGAACTTTTGTGTCACGAGTCATGATACCAATCAAAACAACAGATAAATATTGGAAAGAACAAACTGAGAGAAGAAAACAAATCCAGCAATGCATCAATGGAATCGAGGTAGGAACATGCAAGAATATCAGTGTAATTTGAAGCATGTCCTGGTCAAAATAGGCAAGAGAACATGCGAGATCAGCCCATCCATTAATACAATGTAATGAGTTAAGTCCTGTGTATCAAATACGAACCATGAAAGAGGGCAAAACAGGCTGATGGGACCTTTTTTAAAAGCAAACAGAAAAATATTACTGTGCAATAGAAACTAACTGATGGATAAACTATATAACCTTAATATATTGCATGCTATCATATTATTTATGATATAGGAAAAGCAAAAAATCAATGCATAGGTTACAGATTTCATTGCACAATGCTCAAGGTGTCCTTCCATATCGCCATCCTTTAAAAAGACATCCTATCAATGGATATATATATATATATATATATATATATCGCCAGTTGTAAGCATACATTAGTTTCAATTTAAATAATGACAGAAGGCAGCTCGAAATCTACTGGTGAGATGCCCCTGCTAGTACATTGCACTTCTCTGTATAAAAACAAAAACATGTTCAAAAACAATAACTTAAAAAAACAATCAAGATATAAGCGAGAAAATTCAATATAATAAATATAAATGTTAGATGGTAATACTCTAACTTACTTTGGCTGGACTCTAGTTGAATAACAAAACCCTCAAGTACAAAAAGATCTGAGCTCTTTATGGAAAGATCATCTGAACCCTCCTACAATTGATGGACACAATGAAATATGCAGATAGAATAAGGAACCACACATTATGATTTATAAAACTCAACTGTTTTAATAAGGGCAGGAAACCATAAATTAACTACAAACGTTCTTTCTCTTCATCCTTAACTCCGTTCAGTCTACTACTTCCAAAGATTGTGGATATCCAGCACTAATCTCAACCTGAAAGGGAGAGAAATCATTTATAAGAAGCCATCTGATGCTCCATACAACAAATCAAGTGTTAAACTAATAAAAAGAAGTTAGAAATCAGAATAAAAATGAAGAGAAGAAAGGACAAGGACAATTCAAGCAAAGCTAATAAAATAGAGCTGTGATATTTGAGGGTGAAGACAAGATTCTAATGATGCCATGGTGGCTACTCAATTTGAAATTCAAATTCAAACTATTACTAATGAATTGGTCACGTGTCAGAAGGAAAGTACTATTATGAGGATGTGTGCAATGAGAGTGTCAGTGGAAGTAAGTAATAGACACAACGATAGTTTTTTAAGAGCCAAAAGGAAAATACTATTGTGTAATAGAAAATAACTGATAGATAAAGTATAAAACCTTAATGTCTTATATTCCATCAGATTATATATGATATAGGGACTGATAAAAAACAGCAAGCACATTTCATACTTCAGTGCACAATGCTCAAAGTGTCCTTTCATACTCTATATCCTAACAACCATGTCCTATCATACTTAATAAATATGAAACCTTTATCAATAGATTGAGTAGTCATAGGTGTAAAGCTAATCCTGTAGACTTATATCAGTCAATCAAAAGATTATTCATAATCTATAAATAACAAAATCACAAAAGTAATCCTGTAGACTTATATGCTTTTTAAGTACATTTGAAATCCATGTTCTAGCTTCTTCCCCCCCCACACACAGAGTAGCTACCACACAAATAAATAGACGATTGAAGAAGAAAAAATAGGGTAAATAACTAATGATTAAGCCTAAAAAAAGTTAAAAGAGAAAGAAAAAGAAAATAAAAGAATCCTTTGAACATGTTCTTACTCCATGTGGTGTTAGTTCAGTTGTTATTCTTCTTCTTCATCACCACCGTGCTTGTGGGTCTGCAGGGAGTCGATGCTTTAAACATATTAAGCACCACCAATCCCATCTTCATTAGTTCTAGGTCACCGTTATTGAGCTCAATTATTCCTTCTGTATCACTGAGCTTATGGAGAGGATTGGTGATAAAGATAAAGAAACATAACAGACAATTAAATTGATGGGTCAGTTTTCTCAACTATTTTAATTATGTAGAAGCAAACCTTTTTAATTATTTAGGAAAGAGGATGGTGATTTGGCTTCATATTTATCCTAAGCAAAGTCAATATATGTCATGACAAATTTAAATCCTCGATTATTCTATTACTTATATTTAAGAAAATAGCAGACAATGGTTTAATGGTAAAAGAACATATTATAAAAGTTTAAATGCTTAGGATAATTGAGCTCAGTGTTAGTTCAGTTATTATTCTTCTTCTTCATCACCGCCGTGCTTGTGGGTCTGCAGGGAGTCGATGCTTTAAACATATTAAGCACCACCAATCCCATCTTCATTAGTTCTAGGTCACCGTTATTGAGCTCAATTATTCCTTCTGTATCACTGAGCTTATGGAGAGGATTGGTGATAAAGATAAAGAAACATAACAGACAATTAAATTGATGGGTCAGTTTCTCAACTATTTTAATTATGTAGAAGCAAACCTTTTTAATTATTTAGGAAAGAGGATGGTGATTTGGCTTCATATTTATCCTAAGCAAAGTCAATATATGTCATGACAAATTTAAATCCTCGATTATTCTATTACTTATATTTAAGAAAATAGCAGACAATGGTTTAATGGTAAAAGAAGATATTATAAAAGTTTAAATGCTTAGGATAATTGAGCTCAGTGTTAGTTCAGTTGTTATTCTTCTTCTTCATCACCGCCGTGCTTGTGGGTCTGCAGGTAGTCGATGCTTTAAACATATTAAGCACCACCAATCCCATCTTCATTAGTTCTAGGTCGCTGTTGTTGAGCTTAATTATTCCTATTGCATTACTGAGCTCATGGAGAGGATTGGTGATAAAGATAAAGAAACATAACAGACAATTAAAATGATGGGTCAATTTCTCAACTATTTTAATTATGTAGAGGCAAACCTTTTTAATTATTTAGGAAAGAGGATGGTGATCTGGCTTCATATTTATCCTAAGCAAAGTCAATATATGTCATGACAAATTTAAATCCTCAATTATTCTATTACTTATATTTAAGAAAATAGCAAACAGTGGTTTGATGGTAAAAGAACATGTTATAAAAGTTTAAATGATACATTTTAAACCATTGGCATATAAAGTGATTGGCATATAATTCAAAATAAAGGAAAATCCTCAACCTACCTACCAATCCTTTCAACATAAAATACTGTCAAAATCTTATTAGGACATAAAAATGGCTAATGACATCGATACTTGAGCATAAATACAATAAAAGGGAGTGAAGAGAGATCGAGATGACCTCTTTGGTTCCTTGCTCTAGCAATGCCAATGGCAGCAACTCCTATAGTTTGAGGTTGATTATTCTGTCTCTTTCTTCTAAAAGAATACGTATCATTTCTCCTTCTCTTCACCATAATTCAACATCAATCCTTGATCCCTGCAGAATAATGTAAAAATGACATTTTGATAGTTAGAAAGCCAGACGCGGGGAATATAATAAATGGTTAAGATTTGATATCTTGGTGGCTAGATGATGAAGTTCACAAGTTGTTCCATAGATTCAAACAATCAAGATGATGCCTTTCAGCTCTTTAAGATAATATATATCTTTAAAATACATAAAGCATGTATATTGGCTGAAAGTGTAGAAAAATTGAAGCAGCCTAGGAAGAAAATGGGAGAGATTAAGGATTTTCCTTATAAGTGATGACCGTTTTTTGAAACACAAAAGGCAAGAAAAAATAGACAATCATTTTCTGGCTTGTCTATGGTGTAACTAAATTTCTGTTGCCGACTTCAATTTCCCGTCATGTCCACAGCAGAGTAATGGGATGAGATGTAGAAGGAAAGATGAGATTAGGTAGACAGAGAAAAGGCAGCCCATACCTACAGTAAAGGAAGAGGTGGTCAGAGGAATCAGAGGATCTGTGGCTTGGCAGAAGCAGTGGTTAGAGTTGGAAGAATTAGAGAACCTTTCCTCAAATGTGAGTTGAGTGATTGAGCTTACAGGAGAAGTGAGGATGCCGAGACAGAGCAAATGGGTAGGAAAACAAATGAGTCTGGTTTTGTGTGGTTGAGCGACTAGGCTTGTAGGAGAAGTCAAAAGCCGGGTACCATTGCCCTCTGAAAAATGATGATAATGCCGTACAAAATAGGCAAGGAAGTCTTGTAAAAAATCTTGTCCCAGATCCATGTATTAATTAAACCTTCCCTTGAGCCATGCGTTGATGGCGTGAAGCTGACACTGTAGCTAAAGCTATGTACTGTTCATAGAGCTGATGAACAATGTTTAGTGTCTGGAGCCGTGTTTTAGGAACGGCTTGTCTGAAATAGATTTGTTATTAAGATTGATTTCCATCCAAATTATTGAGCTGCAGATATGAAATTCGAAAAAACCAGAAAAATAATAATTAAAGACCTTATAAAGATATTACTGATAATTAAAGACTTTGAAATATTGAAATGTTATAAAAGAATTATAATTTTTATTTTTAATTAAAATATTTTTAATTATTGAAATAACCAATAAAAAAATTCTCATGAATTTGAAGTTAGACTCTCTCTAATTAAGATAAAAGTAAAAATTTAGTTATAAATTATTTTTTATAAAACATTAGATATTTTGTATCATGAAGAAGTGATGTGAAATAAATCATTACCTGATAAAAATGTAGCATCTATGACCTTCTGTCTATTTTTGACTTGCGGACGTATCCACATTTTCGTACTTTGTTTAATGTGTGTTTTGATGGTGCGTGTGTAGATAAACAAAGCTTTGTTACCAGCAGAAGTAATCCAGCACATGAAGGAGCTGAGAAACAAGCTCGGTTTCAACAAAGTCCGAAGAGTTGACGGTGGACGATGCTTCTGATAAGGACGTCAAGTTCTTCATCAATGCCTTGCTTTGCTATAAAGATATGTTCGATTTCTTGCCGAATCTCAGCAAGACGTTGGAGGCCAAGTCAATCTTCCTCGCTGCAACACCTTACTGATGACAATGGACTCAAATTCTGAGTTCGAGTTCGAGTTCGAGTTCAGCATTAAACAACCTTCACTCTAAATCATCATCTGCAGATAAGCTTTTCTCCAACGGTGTCATCCTTCCAATCCAAAATCAAAACCAACCCTCACAAAGAAAACACACCCTTCGTGGTGAACCTCCTTTCACTAGTTAGACTCCCTCATTGTCTTTATTCATCCTCCATTGAGAAAACTCAGAAATAGAGCACCAAGGAATCTCATTCCAACTCTTTTTGAAGAAGCTTGTGACTGAATTGCTTGTACATGAGCTTGAGAAACATTCCTTATACTGACTATAGACAGAACTTGGAAGAAGGAGGAGAGAGAAATGAAAGCCACTACCAAAGAAAGAAAGGAGGAGAGGAAGAAAATAGATTGTGAAACAAGACGAGAAATTCTGGAAGCAAAGAGAGGAGTAAAAATGGAAGAGGAGACGAGGAAGAGATTGTGAGAGGAGAGGTAGAGGATGAAGAAGCAAATTGGAGGGCGATGTTGGCATGTGCTGTGTGATGACGATGATGTTGTGCCATGTTAATGGATGGGCAAAGGGAAATGAAAGCCTAATCTCTCTCCCAATCTATTTCGACTTCTGCCATGAATAAACGGACGTTAGGACTACACTAACGGACAGGTTATAATTGCTACTTCATTTATTAAAAAAATATAAAATATTTTTAATTAAATCTGACTTTCAATAAAATAATTATTTATCTTTAAAGTATTATATTTATTTAATGGAATGTTTTATCCTAAAATAAATATAAAATAATTTATTTAATAGGGGTATTTTTTTACTAAAAATTTCTTACATTTTTTAATATTAACCCTTCAAAAAATACCTTATATTTTTAAAAGTGAAGAGTATGTTTTTCATGGTAGATAATTTATTTTGCATCATATCACAATATAGGATATTCGGTGTTTTTGAAAAAAATAATTTATGATTAAATTTGTACCTTTATGATTTTCATGACGATGTATATATTCAAGAAATTATCTATCTATTTGCAATTAACTTTACATATATTTACAAATAATTTTTTCTTAAATTCACAATCAATTTTTCTTAAATTATTTTTTTTGGCTGCCAAGGAATTCATTATATATTCACAAGTAATATTTTTTAATTTCATAACTAATAATCGTCCTCGAATTACAAATAAATTTATGAGATTATTTATTCATTCACAATTAAATTTATGTAAATTCACTAATAACTTCTCTAAAATTCACAATAATTATCATTAAATTCATAAATGATGATTCTATCAAAAAAATTCATAAATGATGATGCATAAATTTACAAAAATATATATTCATTTACAATTAACTTTTCATTTATAACACTACTTAAATTCATAGCTAACATTGTTTAAATTTGAGTGACATTCCATTACCTATTTTAATGATAATATATTTTTTAATTCTAAATTAAAGCAATGTCCTAATGTAACTTTTCAATAATTCAAATCTTTAACTATTATTAATCTTTTAACATGATCTCTAATTGTCATTCTCGCAAAAAAAAAAATGACGTTACATCATAAAAACTTATGATGATGCTACGTTACGACCCTCTTTGTTTTTATTTATAAAAAAATTTATCACTTTTAATTTAATTTTTATATAAGCAAAAATTATATTTTCAAATAAGTATTTATTGAGAACTTTTTAAATTACCCTTAGTAATTTTATTATTCATAGTCATAAAAAATAATTAATAAGGTTTGATTAACACAATTAACAAAGAGTATTATAGTTTAATTCTTTTATTTTTAAATATAATTAATATAGTTAATTAATTTTATTAAATTGTGTGATATAATTTTTTTCTTACAAATAAAAATGAAAGGAGTGCCATACTAGCGGGTCAGACAATTCAAACAAAAGAAATAAAGCCTTAGATATGCATTAAATCTGTTCATGATTTGAGGGCATTAATAATAATAAGGGAGAATGTCAAAGAGGTCTTAAAAAGATTAATTAATTTAAGTTAAATTTTAAGTGTTAAATTTTAAAAATTATAACTTAATATCTCAATTTTGCAAATGTATTGTGATAAATTTTTAACTTTTTTTAAATTTTAACATGATTAAAAAATAAAAAATTATTTTTCTATTAAAATTTAAAATGTAAGTTATAAATTTATGACAATATAATTATAAAATTAAAAGATTGAATTGTAAATTTTTAAACTTTAATACTTAAAAATTAATTTAAACTAATTGTTCCTTTTAAAAAATTTCGTCATTCTCCCCCATTAATAACTCCATCCCCATCAATATTTGCAAATTCCTTTGAAAGCGACAAAGCGAAATGGGTCAGCTATAACTATAGGGTAATCATTCACGTGGCACCAATTGAGAACTTTTTGGAGACGACGTGGCCTCATAATATTTCAGCAAGTGCACCTTGTACTTGATTATATATGTTTTTTGATCAAAGGGTACTCCTTTATAATAACACAAAATTAGGTCCAGAAGTAATACAAAGCATACGCCACAAAAACCAAACAAAGAAAGGCCAAAAATGAAATAACAAAGATTAACCAACGCCCATCTCATCCCTGAAAGTAGGAGGAAAAGTAGGAATTGGATTAACTGCTTCCCCATTAGAGGTCAGAAGAACAAACAAACAAAGTGTCAAATTAAACACCCACTCTACTAAGCACACTTCTTTAGAAATAATATATCACACCTAAAAAATAAAGAGTGACCAACACGAGAGCAAATCACTTCATATATTTTCGTAAGCCTCAAAATAAAAATTTTTTTCATTTTCTAAAAAAATAGTCAGGCTATATGGAAATGCTAACATTTTTGATATTAATTGTCATAATAAGGTTTCAACACTTTTGTAAAGATTTTGATAGAACCTCTCTTATAAATAGGATCTTTTAAAGATTTTATAACACAAAATTTTTTTTACAGAATATAGTATCAGTCAGGAGCTTAACTCCTTCCAAGTAACAAACAGTATATAAATCAAAATGAGTTCCTAACAACAATTTATGTTGACCAACTAACCTTTTTTCTAAATTTAAAATACATGATTCTTAAATTTAGAAATTGACGGTAGAATCAACATCAGCTAATGAATCTAAGACTAAAATAAATTTTTCAATGAATAACACCCTTATAAAAAATTTCTAAAAAAATAAACAATAAATTCAACATTGTGTAAACTAGTTAAAAAGATGAGAATTCAATATGATGTATTTAATAAATGTATAAATCTTGATTATAACCATAAAAATGAGAGTAACTAAACACTTTGTTCCATCATGGTAGGAGAAGAGTGATATATATATATATATATATATGAATCAAAATAACACACTAATAATTGAAACTATTAAATTTCAAATATATAAATTAATCCAAATTTAGTATGATGATGACTTAACAAAATAGATAACAAACATGGATATATAATCCACGAAGGTAAATAACCGAACACAACTTGTGCCACGAAAAACAAACACAAACACACAATCTATAATAGTAAATAACCAAATGCAACAGCTACGAAATAAATATTGACACACAATCTATGAGTGTCATGCTAACCAAACGTGGCTCGAAGCCACGAAATTAAACACAAGTACAATACCCACAAACAACAAATGTGAGAATAAGACTCATAAAATTCAAACTAACTAATCATTAACCAAGGCATTAAGGGCTAACAAAATTGTCGTTAACAACTAGTGTTCTGTATAAAGTCCTCTTAGAAATCACATTTTAAAAATGCGAGAGAAATAATTATTTCTGAAATAAAATTTTTATTCTCAATATCAAACTCACATAAATTATTTCAAATATCAAAACTTGCCAAATTAATACTTAAGAGCCAATGCGTAATCTTGCATTAATTGTGTAGTCAAGAAATTTCAAAGTTCAATACACAAAGATACTTTCAACAATATTAGAAATATATTTTTTGAGAAAAAATAAATACACATAACATAATTTAATTATTCTTCAAAATTATTCATAATTTCTAAAACTAAGATAATTCATAAAAATAAAATATTCAATAAAAGACTATTAATGAATAATTAAATGGGATGCTATTCA